CCTTGAAGCATTCATAAGTTTTTTTTTAATCCACTCACATGTCAAACAGATTTTTGGTGTTGCCAACCTGAACTATGTCTCAAGATCATTAAGCTTAATTGTAGTGCAAAACAGCCACCTGCCAAGACAATGTCCTTAAGGGAAACATTATCAAAACAGCTTTCATTATATGCACAAGTACTAAAAAGAAAACAGAAACACTATGTACAAAATACATTTTGAGAGCAAGTGACCAATCAGCTTCTTCAGTTTTATAAATGTATGTGGCAGACCTACTTATGAAACATGATCTCAGTGCCTGCCAAGTGCAAGAAGCACTCTCCCTAGGACTGTAACCGTCACGCAAGAAACCCATTTCACCCACACACAAGTCCCTCTGCCATAAATTTCAGCTGCCTCATGCTAGCTCAGTCTTTTTTTCTATAGGGAAGGGAAAAGAAACTCTGTTTCCCTGTTTAAAATGTCAGTAATATATCCCTACGAGCCCTCATATTTAATGTTACTGGAGGATTTTTCCTGTTAAAAACAAATCCAGGCATTGCATAAGTTGTGCTTACACATACAACAGTTGCAGGTGGTAATCAGGCGCAAGTCTGTAGAAGCCATGTGCTTGTCAGCTTGCTCTATCTTACAAGCTGCAGTACTCCAGAGACTTCTCCCACCAGCTTTTGAGCAGCCTCCTCAACAGAGATGCATTTGTCACTCAACACTGTCGCATTCTCCCATCACTGTGAGGGTTTGTGTATAGAGTTGCATTTTGCCAGGCAGAGTACCTGCACCACGCAGCACTGTCAGGGTTGCGTAGCAAACAGAGGTCTAAGCATGAGAGGCTTAGCACTGTCTCTGCACCCTGTTACTATAGCAGACCTGGTTCCCCTTCACACTGAACACAGTAGAAGTGATCGGAGTCTGCAGGGTTTCCCTACAGGCAGGGAAAACTCAGGCAAGCTGAACCAACAAGTGATGAGTTATTTTAATCGGTCCAGCTACCCGATCAAGACCCACACCTATGAGGTTACTCAAAAATAATTCATCGCTTACAATACTGCAGGTTTCAGAATTCATTCTTAGTTATGTGCACAGGTATTAGTTGTGAACATAGAAGTAATCAACCTTCCCTAAATGCAAGGCTCCTACTTTTTAAAGGCAGCAATGGGCAGTTTTACTGTATGTGTATTCAGCAGTGTTACTCACCAAATCAACACCATGCATTTGCTAAAGCTTCCGTTTTAGTGCTGCAAAGTCAGTCAGTACATCCGAGTTCAATACTTCATCTTAGTAAGACACCTCACCTTTGTCAATGTGAACTTCTAGTATCTTCTTCTCTCTAACAATTTTTCTGCCAGTGCAGCTCTTACACCGGTCCTTGGGGCTGATACGCTCCCCATGCCCCTGACACTCCATACACACGGACTGGATTTGTTGCACCATTCCTGGCCCGATCTGGTGAATTCTGATCTGCATGCCTGTTCCTCTGCAATTAGGACAGCATTCTACCGCACCTTTCTTACCACCACGACCTGAGAATGAAAGTTGGAGGCGGATGGTTATGCGCTACCAGAAAAAAACCCCTGAAAGCTTTAGAAGGAACTTGTGTTTAGTTTCAGTTTCACAGTTACCTTCACATTTGTCGCAGATAACATTCTTCTGCAGTGCAAGTTTCCTTGTGGCACCATTGTACATATCTTCTAAACTTACTGACAACTGATGGACCACATTTTTGCCTGTAAAAGAAAATGGATCTTTACTCAGGTTTGAAAGCTGGGTCTCCAAGTAACCGTGAACTTCCCATGTCACTATGCTCAAGTCACAATAAACCAAGTCTATGAGCTTTAACATTCTGTTTTAATATAGCTTTATCTTGTTATTAGTCAATAGCCCCTTCCTATCTGATGTCAAATTAGGTAACAATTCTAATGGCTTTGTCAGTAACGCTTCTCTGTTAGAGTAAGTCAGAGACTCTTCTGTGAAAGCACAAACAACAAGAGAAACAAAATATGTAGAACTTTATACATTTAAGTTTTATAATGCAGGACTTCAGTTTTAACAAAGCGAACATGTCTTCTACAAGGAAGTGGGAGACGCTGTCTACAGTCAGCAGAGTACTTTCTTCCTCTCACCACGGGACCTTCTGGAAACTGAATTGAGAATTAATTTTTACACTCGGGAGTTAATTAGAACTTTAGCTACCGCAGGCTTAATTTTGTGAAGGATACCAAGTTCTGGCTTACCAGGAATACTTTGATACCACAGTGTAACAATACAAATGCTTTTTTCTTCCCTTTGTCACCAGTTCTACAGTAAGAAGTGATGGGGTCAGCGCTGCTCTTAACCATTTTAATTAACACTAGTCTTTCCGAATGTGATTAATCTGGACTTTAATTTCCAAGCAGCATTTTACTGCAGCTTCAACTCAATTCCACTGAACAGCACAGGAAAACAAAAAGGTTTCACAGACTGAACTTGATTTGGCTATCTTATTTAGATACAGTTACTTGCAATTAAAGGCCAAATTCACATTTAGACACTACACTTACTGCAGCTTAGTTAAAAAATCGTTTTATAATTGTTTCCTATTCAGCCTATTAGCAGCTGGGCTTACGCTCTGCTAAAGGCTTTCCAAACACGAAATCTGGTTAGCTATTAACATGAGACAATGCATAAGAGACCAAACTACCACCGTATGAAGCAAATGTCCTCCCCTGCTGCTTTCAGGTGTTCAGGGCTAGGGACAATGTTTTCTCCAATTTTGACATCAAGCCTGTAACTTCATTTTAACGCTATTTAAAATCTTACATCTACGGCATTCTCCTCGGAGACTTTGATCCCGTCTACCGCAGCGATCACGCTGTAAAGTCCCGGAAAGTGTCGGAAGATGGCACGTTACCTCGTCTCTCTCTCTGCATTCTCCCACCGCCGCCAAAGAACATATCGAATATGTCCATGGGTGACCCAAAGCCGCCACCAGAGCCAGCCTCTTTGATGGCCTGCTCGCCTCCTTTGTCATACAGGTCCCTCTTCTTTGGGTCTGAGAGTACTTCGTAAGCTTGGGAAATCTGCTTAAACTACGGGAGACACAGATCATGCCTCAGACACCCGGACCTTGAAACCCCGAACAGCAGCCCCTCGCCCAAAGCCGCCACCAGAGCCAGCCTCTTTGATGGCCTGCTCGCCTCCTTTGTCATACAGGTCCCTCTTCTTTGGGTCTGAGAGTACTTCGTAAGCTTGGGAAATCTGCTTAAACTACGGGAGACACAGATCATGCCTCAGACACCCGGACCTTGAAACCCCGAACAGCAGCCCCTCGGGGCCCCCGGCCACCCTCCCGCCCCGC